AGATTCTGCAATGGACTTGAGTCCACCATGAAAAAAATCACTGCATTTAACAAAGAAATACAAAACATTGTCACTAACTTCTGGGTGGTGGATTATAACTGATTTTTATTTTCTTTAGGCTTGTCTGTATTTTCTAAATTTCCCTACAATGAAAAAGTACCACTCTTATCATTTAAAAAATAGATTTTCAGAAGGATTAGTGCATTCTTGCAAGGTTTACCAGATCTCTCAAGTCTACTCTAAAATCACGGGGGGGCGGTGATATGAAGTCAGACAGTATCACAATGCGTGTCTGCACACAGTGGTTGATTACCCAAGTGGCTGGCCGCTGTAGTCAGAATCAGGACATTATTATTATAATCAGAATCTATGGCTCACAGTCCTACGTGGAAATCAAAACATACGTTTTATCTAAATAACTTTTTTTTTTCCAGCATCCTGGCCCTTGAGAAGCATGGTTAAAATTCCTTTCCAGTTTAAAGTAAATGAAATGAAACATGAGGTACTTCTTCTACCCACAAAAAAAAAAAAAAAAAAAAAAAAGCTTTCCAGACAAAATATGGTTGCTATTGGGCTGGGTTTTTTTTTTTTTCTCTCTAAAACACAACACATCAAAAGTTAAAATAAATATTTAGCTGTCAAAACAAAACACACCCCCCATATGGAAAACACAAATATTGAATTTGATGACGCTTGTTATAAAAACAACGTCCACAGCAAAAATAAATGTTTAAATTGTGTACAAAGACTACAAAACTAAATGCTATCATTGTTAAGTTCTATACGACAGTCCAAAAAAGGTTGAAGGTAAGCTGCGGAAAGGATATAAACATAATTAGGTAATTTCCAGCTTCACCACCATAAAAAGTACAATTTTCAAGGAAGACAGACAATAAAGTTCCCCCAAATGACAACTGCAGGCTCAGTGAGGGTAGATCTCTAGAACAAACTTCATGTTCAGCTGAATTCTCCTCAGTTGAGGAAGGTATAGCATTATAGTTCACCTCTCCATTCTCCACCTGGATGTGATCTGTGTCTACAACACATTACCTCCGAAACGACTTTTTACCCAGGACCAGTCACTCACCTCTCTGCAGCAGGGTCCTCGCCTCACTCCCCTTCAGCAACACCAAGCTCCAGACCAAGCAGCAAGGGACAGTGGCTTAGTCACAGGACTGAAGTTCAAATCCCAACTCTGCCGCTTATTAGTTGTGCAATCTTAAACAAGTTACTTAACTAACCTCATCTATGAAATGTGCATCATAACCACTCTGCAGAGTTCCTCTGAGGATCAAATTACATAATGGGTGTAAATTCAACCCACATATTTTCTAGAACTAGCGTAGGCCTTCAAGTAACCAGTTCCCTTTCGCCCCCTACTCCTGGCCACTTACTCCAAGTATGATCAAGTTTAACGTTCATGGTTTTAATTACTCTCCAGCAAACTCAATGGTATATAGCACATGTAGTAATTTTAATTTTGTTAAGACTTTGAATAGAGCACACAGCAAGGGAGACAGTACGACATTGTGCTCAAAACCATGAACTTCTGAGGGGTAAGGCAATCTCAATTTTGATGTCTCCTAACCGCGCCCAGCTGTGCAACCAAGGGCAAATTACTTTACCTCTCTGAGCCTGGTTCTTAATTTAAAAATGAAGAGACTAGACAAGGTATACAAGTGCCTGGCACAGAGCTAAGTACCATAAATGGTAGCTTCTATTGGTCTTCATGATTTGGGTCGATGTTCAGGTACTAGTCACTTTAAAGACTAGTAAAGTAAGCTTGGCCAACAACTCAGTCACATCAAGACACTGTTAGTGTTCTCTACTCTCCTGAAGTTAAGTTCTACTGCATTTCATAGAGGAAATTACATCAACCTTAGCACTATTGACAATTTGGGTCAGATGATTCTCCAGTGCGGGGGACTGCCCCTTGCATCCTAGAATGTTTAAGCCCCTTGCCTGACCTCTACCTACTAGACACACCCCAAGCTGTGACTGCCAAAACTGTCTCCAGACATTGTTCAATGTCTCCTAGGGGACAAAACTGCCCCAGTTAAAAACCACTCGTCTAGCACTTTCTGCAGATGGGACTTCTCGGTAGGCAGCCCTGCAGGAGGACAAAGGTTTACTCGCCCTCCCATTTAGTCTTATCTACTCCTCTGGGCTCCATCATTCATTAGTACCTGTAATTCAAAGGTGACCATAGAAAAATAAATTTTTGGGCCCAATTTGCTGTCAGAAGCTGCTTTAAGTCACAGGAAGGAATGCTGGCCTGGTTATCTTTTCACTACTCTATACAGTCATACAAAATGCTGAACTTTTAATATCAAGGAATCTGCTATGTCCTAATTACTTTACATAAAACGTTAAAAGGTCATTGACCTTAAGATGACTTATAAACCATGTTATTACCCAAACTAAGTATGTCTTCATTGGGAAGGTGAGATGGAATTTATGCAGTGACTAATACCCTGGAAAGAAACGGCTCCCCTGTTTGCATGGCTAAAGCATGTTTACTGTACATAAAGTGCTATGTTAAAGTCCAAAAGACTCTGGACAACTCTTGATTATTCACAACGAATTCACTGTCTATTTTTCATTTTAATAACTGCACCAGAAAGCAGGAGCCATTTCTTATCCACTGTGCATCCCAGCACCTAGCACAGAGCCTCCAACAGAGGTGGTCACTCAGTAAATGTTGGTTGAATAAATAAATGGTCATATATTCTGCTTAATTAAGTACTCTGTTGGAAAAAAAAAAAAAGAAACTTTCTTTGCTCTCGTTCAACAGGAGCTGAAAGAAAAGATCTTTTAAGAGAAAATAATTACAGTCTGCTCCCTTTTACTCCAAACCCAAACAACTGGAAAATTCAATTAACCAAAAAAATTTTGTAGGCAAAAGTTGGGGAAAGCAGCCAAACAGATAAGGCCCAAAGTTCAAGCAAGCACGAACATTTGTTCAACTCCCGCAAGATTATAAGAGCCAAAGCTGCTGGCACAAGAGGGCAAGGAGGCAGCCGGGAGGTGGAAGCAGGAAAACAGGGATGGATCAGCCTCAGGAGGTTAGCTGCCATCCGTCAGTGAACAGTTTTTTTGGTTTTTTTAACGTCAAAACTTTAGAGGTAAGAGTCAATGTCTTACGCAAAGCCTTGACTTACAAATTACTTTTCAAATGGATATGAGCAAAAATTTAAAGAATATTTAGAAAGATATCTGATCATATTTTTGTTAATTTTTCAAGGTTCCTTATCTTTTTTTTTCCCTTCTCCAGTCCCGCAGGGCAAACAACAGGTTCTTAAAAAGCTGCGCAAAAGACACTCCATTTACTCTTTTTGTCTAGAGAAACTTAAGGCCCACCACCATCACATGCTTCTCTCTGCAAAAGACTTCACCACTCCCAGCATTCTATTCATAAGAGAAAAAAACAGTCAGATTTAAATTGTATTCTTAAAGTATTATTTTAAGATTATTGCCCAGTATATAGAATGGGTATCACATTAACATTACAAATGGTGCAAATAATAGTGTTTAAATGCATTCTCGGGGCTTCCCTGGTGGCACAGTGGTTAAGAATCCGCTTGCCAATGCAGGGGACACAGGTTCGAGCCCTGGTCCGGGAAGATCCCACATGCCGCGGAGCAACTAAGCCCGTGCACCACAACTACTGAAGCTTGTGCACTTAGAGCCCGTGCTCTGCAACAAGAGAAGCCACCGGAATTAGAAGCCCGCACACCGCAACGAAGAGTAGCCCCCGCTCGCCGCAACTAGAGAAAGCCCGTGTGCAGCAACGAAGACCCAACACAGCCAAAACTAAATAAATAAAATAAATAAATTTATAAAAAACAATAAATGCATTCTCGTCCACCTTTGAGACCAAAACCTCTATTTCCACTTAAAACATTTCCAGTTTATCATTTCCAGTACACAAGTAAATTATCATGTTTAAGTGGTCCATTAGTTTGATCCATATTAAATTAGCTTCAATTTCCTGGTATCATATAAGAGGAATTTTCCCAATTTAAATCTTACACCATTTTTTAAAAGTTTCACTCAAAAATCTAGACTTGGTTTAAAAAAACCCAAAAAACAAAAGAGCGCTTTCCTTCTCCAAAAATTCAATATGGGAATGGCAGCCTAGAATTTCAAAAACCATATATGGTTACAGAATCCATATGGTAGTCTTAGACTATATACTTATTGGTAGGTGGTTCACACAAATCATGGCGTATCTGACCAATTTCCTGTTGCATAAAGATTATATTTGCTCTGAAAAATGTTAAATAAGCATTTTTAAAGACTGAAGGTAAAGACTAGATTGGAACCTTATGTAACCAAAATGGGAAAGCACGTATAGCATCACCACATTAAAGGCCTAAACCTTTTCAATATGTATTCTTCCTAAGCAAATATGAGCATGAATTTCCAAAGGCAAAGCTACCATCCCAGAAGCCCTTGCTTCCTCAGTGTAAAGAATGGGGAGGGTTCTGTTCCTGGAGACGAGCTGGGGAGGGAAAGGCTTTGCAAAATTCCAAGGGGCTCATAATTTAAATGTATGCTATTCTGCAAATGTTCACATTTCCAAAGAACAACATAAAATTTACATTAAAACTGTCTTAATCAAGATAACGAAAAAAAATTATTCCTGGTGCTCTATAAGCTTGCCATAGATTTGATAACCCAGGAAAGAATTACAGGCAATTACAAAATGATGGCTCCAATTAGGAAATCTGGATCTATTCCAAATTCAAATCAAAGGGGGCTCAGATAATCCCGATGGAGTAATTTAAATGAATATAGGGGACTTCCAGCAAAGACATACGTTTATTCTATTACTACGTCTTCTGAAAGCCAAGCAAAATGCTACAACGACGTATCTCTTGCACTTCAGGAAATTAAAAAACCAAACCTGGAGTCCCCTTAATAAACCTTGTTCTCTTCTTTTCCCAAGGGGTCTCGCTGGTACAGGGTTTTTATTGTAAAGGGCAATCAAAACAAACCTGAGAATCCCGCACAGTCTCAAACGCAGAAGATAATATAGCACCGAACACGAACCACACACAATCTTTCCTTGCTGATTTCCAAACCTCCACCTAGTCCTGGATGCCTGAGAAGAGGCCGCGAGGAATGGAAGAGAAAGAGAAACTTCGAAAGCAGAAACCTCTCTCCCAGAGCCTAGAACAGACGGCACCTTGTAGGGATTTCACGCTTTCTGAGACGGAAAGGTCACACCCTGCAGTTTTGAAAATCCACCTTCTAAGGCTCAACCCATGTTACAAAACCTTCCTCCTGCTTCTCTAGGTTTCGCGCTGGAGCTGAAACCCCCCCTCCCCCCCCCCCCCTTCCCCCCCCCCCCCCCCCCCCGCCATCCCCTTAGAGAAGAACCAGCGCGGCTCCCCCCTCCTCCCCACCACAGCATCCCCGACGAGCAAACCCTGGAAGCCCCTCACCTCCACTCCCTCCCACGCCCACCCCCGCCCACTTCGTCGTGCGAACCGAGGCCGGTTCCCCTTCACTCCCTCCCCGTCCTCGAGGAGGAAACCGAGGGGAGCCCTCTACTTCATCTTCACCCGCTCTCCCCACCGTCTACCTCTCTCCCAGCCGGTTATCCTCGTTGAGAAGACCGAGAGGTGCCCCCCACCTCGCCCCACTCCCCCCACTGCCCGCCATCCTCGGGCAGAAAGCCCAGGGAACCCCTTCCCTCTCTCTCCACTCCCCACCATTCCGCAGAGGAAACCAGGGAGAGCCCCCTCCTCCCTCCCGCTTCCCCCACCTCCAGGCGCTCCCGGTCCCCTCCGCCCGCCACCCCTGCGGCGAGAGCCCGAGGGACGCTGAGGCACGCACCGGCGGGAGGGCAGAGGAGGGGACCCCGCGGCCGGCCATCCCGCAGCCCCCGTCCCCGGCCGGCCGGCCGAGGCCCGAGGCCCCAGATACCCGCCCCGGGGGCCAGCCCGCGACCGGAGGCGGCGGGGCAGGAGGGCAGCCGCTCCCCCGGGACGCGGGCCCGCTGGGCGGGAGGCACACACGCATGCACGCACACGCGGAGAGAAAGCGGGCTTACAGCCTGGGGATGCTCGCCCGCGCGGCTGTCTCGGCGGCGGCCGCTGCCTGCACCGAGGCCAAGGCGCGGCGGCGGCGTCGGCGGCGGCTGCGGACTGAGCCCCCTCAGCCGGGCGGTGGATCTAGGGCGCGGGAGGGGCGCGAGGGGAGGGGCACGTGGGGGAGGCGGGGAGGGAGGGCGCGCGCGCGCGGGGGGGGGGGGGCGGGCGCGGCTGGCCCGGGGCGGGGCGGGGCGTGCGCCAGCCGGGGCTCGGCCTGCGGGGGCTGCGGTGCGGGGCGCGCGCGCGCGCGCGGGAGCCGGCCCGGCCGGGGGCCGGGCGAGGGCGCCACGCAACCTGTGCGGCCACGTGCCTCCGTCTCGGGGGGCGGCCCGCTGACTGCAAGGCGCGGCCGCGCGGGGAAGGTGGCTGCGAGGAGACAGGGGCGAGCGCTTTCCTGGAGGGCCGGCTCCCGCCCCGGAGGCCGAGGGGAGGGCGGGCTGGGGGCGCCCGGGGACCCCCGCCCTCGCGCCGCAGCCCTCGAGGCCGGCGGGGAGTCACGAGTCACTGCAGGCAGCCGCGGCCGGCGCTGGGGAGGTGGGAGCAACAAAGAGAGTCGAACGAAGGTGGCCTCACCGGTGGCCTACGCTAGCCAGCACACCCCCTGCAAAGCGGCCCGTGTCCGGAGCGCACCCGGATTCGGCCCAGACTGCAGGAGCCCCGTGGTTCTGAGGGACGCCGAAGGACCCACCGGCGACCCTTTCCCTTAGTAATCGGCCGGGGGGAGCGAAAGGAGCCCCATCATGAGCCCAAAGCTACCATACAGAGGGCTTTGCATCATTCGAAAAAGCACTGATGGCAAAGCGGCACGTGGCTACTCATTCATTCACTCAGCCTTCGGTTTACTGGGCCCTCACCGTGTGCCAGGCACAGTGCCAGGCGCTGAGGATACATGGCAGAGTCAAGCAGAACACCCGCCACCCTGCCTTGGGAGCTTGCAATCTAGTGGGGAGACAGACGATTAAGAAGTGAGAAAATAATCAAATTTGGGATTAGGCCTGTGCAGCAAAAGGAGAGGGTGCAAATTGTGTGGTTAGGAAAGGAGGAGGTGGCATTTAAGCTGAGCCCTGAAAGTTATGAAAGAAGCAACCATAGGAAGAGCCAGGGAAAAGCCTTGCGAAAAGAGGGAGCAGACACATGAAAGCCAGGAGGGGGCAAATCTTGCTGCTTTAGGACTATGAGGTGGTGGTTGTGATTGGCACCAGGAGAGCTGGGGAGGGTAGCATAAGCCTGGACAGACTGGCACAGACTAGATCATGGACTGCATCCTAGTCAACAGACGGTTTTATTCCAAAATCAATGGGAAGCTAGTGAATGAATGGCTTCACCCCTGGGGCATGACATGACCTGATTTATATTTCTTTCCTATTTCTTTTTTCTTTTGGGATAATTGTAGATTCACATACATTTGTAAGAAATAATACAGAGAAGTCCTATGTACCCTTTACCCAGTTTCCCCCGATGCAAAACTATAGTACAAGATCATAACCAGAATACTGACATTAGTACAATCTACAAATCTTATTATTTCCCTGGTTTTACTTGTGCTCGTGTGTGTATTTAGTTCTATCCAACTTTATCACGCGTAGACTCATATATCCACCACCTCAGTCAGGATACAAAATAGTTCCATCGTTACAAGAATCCATCCTGTTGCTCCTTTAGCCTCAACCCCCTCCCCAGTCCCCCCAGTCTCCTGCCATTGGCAATCATTCATCTGTCCTCCATTTCTACAATGTTGTCCTGTCAAGAATGTTATGTAAATGAGCCATACAGTTTGTAACCTTTGGGGATTGGTTTTTTCACTCAGCTTAATTCCCTTGAGAGTCATCCAAGTTGTGTGTATCCATAGTTTGCTCTCTTTCATTGTCCAGTAGTATTCTAGGTCCTATTTGTATTTTTATTTATTTATTTATTTTTAACATTTTGATTGGAGTATAAATGCTTTACAATGGTGTGTTAGTTTCTGCTTTATAACAAGGTGAATCAGTTATACATATACATATATCCCCAATATCTCTTCCCTCTTGCACCTCCCTCCCTCCCACCCTCCCTATCCCATCCTTCTAGCTGGTCACAAAGCACCGAGCTGATCTCCCTGTGCTATGCGACTGCTTCCCACTAGCTATCTATTTTACATTTGGTAGTGTATATATGTCCATGCCACTCTCTTACTTTGTCCCAGCTTACCCTTCCCCCTCCCCATATCCTCAAGTCCATTCTCTAGTTGGTCTGCGTCTTTATTCCCATCTTGCCCCTAGGTTCTTCATGACCTTTTTTTTTTTACATTCCACATATATGTGTTAGCATACGGTATTTGTTTTTCTCTTTCTGACTTACTCCACTCTGTATGACAGACTCTAGGTCCATCCACCTCACTACAAATAGCTCAATTTCGTTTCTTTTTATGGCTGAGTAATATCCCATTGTATATATGTGCCACATCTTCTTTATCCATTCATCTGTGGATGGACACTTAGGTTCCTTCCAAGTCCTGGCTATTGTAAATAGAGCTGCAATGAACATTTTGGTACATGACTGTTTTTGAATTATGGTTTTCTCAGGGTATATGCCCAGTAGTGGGATTCCTGGGTCATACGGTAGTTCTATTTGTAGTTTTTTAAGGAACCTCCATACTGCTCTCCATAGTGGCTGTACCAATTCACATTCCCACCATCAGTGCAAGAGGGTTCCCTTTTCTGCACACCCTCTCCAGCATTTATTGTTTCTAGATTTTTTGATGATGGCCATTCTGACCAGTGTGAGATGATATCGCATTGTAGTTTTGATTTGCATTTTTCTAATGATTAGTGATGTTGAGCATCCTTTCATGTGTTTAAAAGACTACCTTGACTACCATGTGGAGAAAGATTCAGAGGAGACTGAGGATCGAAACAGGAAAACTAGTTAAGATGCTTTCCCAATAGTCCCTATCAAAGCGGATGGTGGTTTCGATTAGGGTGGTGCCTGTGTAGGGAAGTGGAAGGATTTGATGGAACGGGTTCGGAGAGGAAATTGGAGCTGAAGTAGAGACAGCATAGTATAGACAATTGTTTTGAGCTGTTTCACTGTAAAGGGGAACAGAAGTGGAGTGGAACGAGAGGGACAATTAGGGACAAGAGAAGATTCCTTTCTCTCTTTTTCATTTGAGAGATGAGAGCATGTGGCGGGATAATCAGTAGGGAGGGATTGCTGATGAGAGAAGCCTGCCTAGCCCAGAGGAAATGACAGCTGGGGTCCACGAGGAAGACGGGCCCTCCATCTGCTTAAAGGAATTCTCCACTGTTAAGATGCCGATCAGAGGGCTGGGTGGAGGGTGGCCAGCCGTAAGTATAGATCAAGCAAATCCAGTCTGATGACTCCTATTTTCCCCAGGAGTACACAAACTGGGCGCTGGCCTCCCTTATGAGAAAGCCTAAGCCCTTGCAAGGTTCCCTTCTCTCCCCTGGCACCAGGCGCGTGGCCCTTCCCTTTTCTCATAACAAGCCCTCAGAAGCACTGATGTTTGGTCTTTCTGGTTGGCAGGAGAGGCTGTGGCTTCATGCTTGCTAGGAAAAGAAGTCGATCTGCCCGACCCTGATCCCAAGAAGGTTCTGAACAATTAGCTCCGCTGCAGGCAACTCCTGGAATAGAGTAGCGGCCCAGCGCCCAGCCCCCAAACAGCCATCCAAGATGGAGGGCTCTATGAAGGGCCCTCTCCCAGGGAACCTTCTGGCCATCCTTTGGCACTCATCAGTGTTAGTTGTGGTTCATTCCTCACAAGATCCTTTTCTTCCTCCCCACTTCCTTTCTCCATCTTTCCTTCCCCCCTCCTCTCCGGCCCCCACCTTCTTTCCTCCCTTCCCCCCTTCTTTAGATATTCCTGATGTGCTCCTACTAGGTGCAAGGCCCAGATCTTCCACGTTGCCCACGCTTGGTCTACACCCTAGGCCAGCCCTGTCTGCCTCTGAACACTTCATCTCCTTGGATTTGAACTCAACTTTTGTGGGTCATGGAAACACAATGTTCCACTTAAAATATGTGGGAGACTGTATTGCAGAATAAGCAAAACAGATGAAAAGAAAGAGGCGGCCCAAGTTGTGAACTTGTGTGCCACATTCTGGCAATGTTTTCAGCATCAAGAAGCA